TAAACAGTAACACCCTATTCCCCTTTATCTCCAAGCCCTAGTAACCTCTAATCTACTTTCCATTTCTATGAATTTACCGATTCTGATTTTTAAATCAGTTTCACTGAGGTATGATTTACATACAATGAAAGGTTCCTATGTTGGCTATGCAGTTTGATGAGTTTTGACAAATATACACACCTGTGTGCCTACCCACCACAATCAGTAGGACATTTCCTCACCCTAAAAACTCTGTGTCCTTCTCAGTCCACCCCTCACTCAGGTGCTGCAACCACTGATCGGCTTCTGACCATTATCAATTAGATTTGTTTTTCCTAGAGTTTCCTGGAAGCACATCCAGCCACTACCCTCTCCACCACCACGTGTAGGTGTCAGAGCAAGAAGGGCCCTCAGGCTGGCAGTTCCTGTCTTACAGGCAGACACTGAAGCCTCCAGATCTGATGACTGTTTAGCCCAAAGTCCAGGAGAGATGGTGGAGAGCCAGGAGGGCAGCCCAGGTCTAATCCCATTACTGTGCTGGTTTCCTTGCTCCCCTATCTAGCCCAGCTCCTTTGGCTGGTAGTAAGGGGCAAACAGTGTATTCTAGCTGTGCCCACTGCTCCACATGACTTAAAACCATGCTGCAATCTCAATCTCCTGTTTGGTTTACTTTTCTGACCTCCAGAGTCTCACATCCAGGATCTCTGGTCTTAAACTAAACCTGCCTTTTTCTGCTCAAGCATGTTGTTTTATGTACCTTAGTGCAGGGATTGGTACCACCTAGGCCTCAAAACCAGGAGCCTGGGGTAACTCTAGACTACGTCCCCTTCCTCCCATTTCCCTTCAGTCTTATTCTCCTCCAGATGTCATCTTTTAGGTATCTCTTGGCCCAAAGCCTACCTCCCATCCTGGCCAATGGTGCCCTCAGCCGGACCCTTCACATCTCTTGCCTGAGCCTTCCTGATGGCGTGGGTTGGATTCCCTCTAAGTCCCGTGCCTATGGAATGGACGGATTATTTTCTGTTCCTGTGGCTTTCTGTTTTAAGATTCTGCTGTTTGGTTCTACTCAAAAACAGAATAGTAATAATCATCCTGAAGACACATATTGTACTTTCAAAGCTTGCAAAGCACTTTCTTATTCATGAAATCATATGATTCTGGGAAGCCTTGGGAGGAGCTGTTCTAATTATCCATATTTACCCATATGAGGGACCAGGGTTTAGAGGGGTTATATGTCTAGAGCCATCTGCTTTGGAACCATCATTCAGACCCAAGTCCCCTGAACTCTGTGTGTCTTTTTTTCTTTTTCCTTTTCCTCTTTTTTCTTTTTCTTTTTTTACGATTCTTCTTCTCTGAGCATCTGAAGCTCAGCTTTCTTTTCCCTCGAACACTAGAAATCCATCAGGTATTATTTTATATGTCTTGGGTTTCTGCTATGAAGATCAGTATTAAAAAATGACAGCAGCTTGTTATTTATGGCAATATCTGCTGTTAGTAAGGGAGACAGAGCAAACAGTTCCCTATTGTTAGAGACGCTACTTTGGCTTGACAGCTGGGAAAGTCTGATAGGCAGTTTATTTACTTAGCCATTAAACCAAATAAATGTTTTCATTTTTCTTTCATCTCCTCAAACGCTAACATTTTGCCCTTAAAATTGGTCCAGCAACACATCAGTGAAGTATAAATTACCTGCCATTCCAACACCAGCCATTATAATATTATATGGGTTCTTTTTTGCCCCCATTGACCCAGTCTTTCAAAGACACGTGATTCTCCCAGGTGGAAGGGGAGGGGAAAAAGGAAATAACTGGAGATATTTCGCTTT